ATTATGAATATAAAAATTAAATATTTAAAATAAAATTACAAAGTGAAAAAAATGGTAAAATTATTTTTAAAATAATCAAAATAAAAGCAAAAATAATAAAAACTACAAAGAAATAATTTAAAATATTTAAAATAAAAATGGACAACGGCGCATAATTTCTCTTTTTTAACAGCGCTCACTGTCGAACCAGGCAAAAGTGCCGGGCAGTCCTTCGGCGACAGAAATACAGGTGAGTCGCCAGCGTCACCCAGATTCTTGAAGTTCAGGTTTACTACTGCCAACAGCAAGACCTCAGCGTCGGCGCTCCCTTGCTTTCTCCCTTGTGCTACTCTGCTGACTAACGAAGCGTGGTGCGTCAAATGGATTTGAACCCAAGCTTCGGTTCTCGATGACAAGTGTTTCGCCACTGAGTCACCGACGCACCCGAGCGACGTAATTGGATAAGTAGAAATAACGAAATAAAAAATAAAATATCGAAACTACAAAAAACAAAATAATAAATTTACAATACTTTTAAAAAACAAAAGTAGATTCTTGAAAATAAAAACGATGAAAACCTAAAAATCAATCAATAACTATTTAATAACTGCTGTGCAACAATTATTGTTGTTATTGTTGTAACAAAGAGAAAAAGATAATACTTATAGGAGGTGGGGAAGACGATAAGAGAAAAAGGAATGGAGAGAGATGCAAGCGGACGATAGGCGCGAGATCAACACCAGAGAAAGAGAGAACGAGAAGTGCGCGTTGCTAGAGAAAAAAGGAAAACTCGATTTTAAAATAAATAATAAACGCAAGAAGCTATGTCTCCATTGCCAGTACCTCTGAAGATGACGGCTGTTAGTAGGGTTCCATCTTTAATAAAAGGTTGACTATGGTTAGGACGAAGAGATTTTCGTGATATTCGTCTTTTATCGAAGAAATATCGAACAACTGCGCGGTTAAACGAAGAATGAGCCTTATAATAATGAATAATGAACTGTAGTCGAGGAAACATACATCGCAGGTACTTCGCAAAAAAACACTTCGGTTAGACAGAAAGCCACGGAAGGGAATTATTAACGACCGACCGATTAACAAGCAACATCCACGTGGTATTTAGAGAGAGTGTGGACAGTGATCGCTTGGTTCAACATCAATATATTTTCTGACCTTCCAAGCAGCTATAGCCAACACCTCAACTTAACAACATCTCTAACGATAACGAAAGATGACATGGTTATAATCGAAGAGACTGGAATGCGCGTGTAGCGCATGCCGTTACGATGAATTCAGTAATTGGCAATTATGGCATCAGGGACCAGTGCGCCAATGGAGAACACCTTCGAAAAGTATGAACTCTTTGTTACTAATACATGCTTTCGCCATCGGAGAAAACATATAGTCACGTGGAACTCTCTGGACAACTAATATTCCAATCAAATTCAACTATGTATTGGTCAATTACGGCTAGAAGAATTCTTTACTTGATAATCGTTCTTACTGGGGGGCTGAAACTGGCAACACCATGGATCAGATAGTGTTATGGTTCGAGACAAGATACGTATAAAACTGATAAGTCGTAAGAAACAACCTATCCCAAGACCTTTCAATTATCTCATATAAAAAGATCGGAGAACAATAAGCGCATTATTATTGAGACACCTCAGTGAAATGAACATCAATGATATCTCTGGAAAGTCGAATGAATACTGGTCCCAACTAAAAATATGCCTGCAAAAGATAGCCACTTCCACATTAATGTATATTAGGAAGTGGGCTATTTGGGTGTGGGAAGCAAGTATGAAAAAGCTTGCCAACGTCCGAATGTCAGGAGATCCTGACTATAAGGTGTTTCGAAGAATTATAACGATAGCAGCACGGCGGGATATAAATCGCTATTGGAGCGATATGTCCTTGAGAATGGAGATGGCGGCATGGCGACACGGATAGGTGATAATAGGAAACTGTTTCGCTTTCATAAAAATAACTATAACTCGAGAAGGAATCAGTGAAATCATACGGGATATTAATGAAGCGCCTATTAAAATTATTAAGGATCGTATCAAAAGATGGAACGAATTTTTTGAGGCCAAATTTAACCACGATGGACTATCTTTTCTCCCAAATAATATCTGTTGTCCCGAATTGTCTCGATTTTTGCAGCTGCCTTCATTCGTTCGATAGAACAGCGCTTTGGAAAATGATGAAATGTGACGGTATTCCAGAGAAGGTCATTCTGCTCATAAAGGCATTTTATCAGCATACCTTGGAGCAGGTCTGTGTATATGGGGGACTGAGAGACTGAAATAAGAACTGGTATCCATCAGGGCTACGTCCTTTCCCCTACAGTATTCAACTATGCGGTAGATTGGACAATGGGCATCGCTTGTCAGCACTTAAGAGATGTGCAAATCAGTCCAGAGCATGGTACTGCAGACCTTGAATGTGCTGATGATGTAGTCGTTTTTGCTGACAGTTATAAATTATAAGCAAATGCAAATAATGCTAAACAATGTCAACAACTGCAGCGAGAATTGGGCTCAAAATCAATATAAATAAAATGAAAGTGTTTTTAATATATACAAGATGCTGATAAAGTACCTATTTTTATCAATTCATTGTCGGTTGAGGAAGTTTTGAACTTTAAATGCCTTGGAGTCACTCTAATCCCAAATGACTAGGCAAAGGATGAAATTGTAACACGGATAACGATAACCAAAAATAATTTTTCCGGTTGATGAAATCTTCATGAAACCGTCGCGAAATCACAATGAAAACGAAAATTCACGTTTATATAGCTGCAATTCGATCTTGCTATATGGCTGCAAGAGATGTACGATGAGAGTGGAAGATATAAAACTATCTGCCTTTAACGACTCATGTCTAAAATAAATTTTACTGGTCCACTGAGCAAATAAAATCTCATACGACTGCATCCACCTTATAAATACCGTTTGCATTAATAGTACCATAGAGCGTCGCTTTCGCTTGTTAGGGCACATTCTTCATCGCCCACCACGGGAGTTGACGTATTCTATTAGTTGTTAAACCCTGTGATGGATGGCGTTAAAAGCGAGAAAAGCCAATCAAGACCTGGACTGATACAGTCAGGAAAGATTTTGAATGTATAGGAATGTATAGAACCAGCGTTATATGGACTTAGACGATGGAAAAAGGAATGGCTTCTATTACTGCTAGTGTGGCGTTTGATCGAGTAGCTTGGAGATATCTCGCTGGAGGTAACCGGCGGAGCTAGCCTAGCCAGTAATGGTGAGAGGTAAATATAATAAAATATAAATATAAAAAAACGAAATAAATCAATAATTGAAATCAGTTATTTCACCATTTCTATTAGGCTCATCCGCCGACAGTGTAATGAGAAGTTTTTGCCAAGGCTAGGCATATACCGATGTTAATAGAGATGGATGGGTTGCACGCGTCAATTGGATTTCTTAATGGCTGCTTCGTTCGCGTTCGAACCATTCATCTCCGAAGCAGCAACCACTCGGCTATCCTATCACCAACAAATATAATAATAATAAAATATTTTAAAAAATTGATAATCCAACTTAGAAACACGATAACCAATCGCAAACTCATTTGCATCACGTGTCAGTTATTTTCAGTTTTTTATTATCTTTGAAAAGAATCAGAGAATCAGTGATCAAAGATTAAATTCTTCTTTAAATGATATTTACAAGAAGAAACGAAATTTTTGGAAAGATTCTCCTGGGGGACTCTTTAATAAGCACCAAATCATTATGATATTTGGCTGCAACAAGTAATTATTTAGCTGTGAAGTTTTATTTGGCACTTTGCCATAAAAATTTTTTAAGAATTTTTTGTTTAATGGATTTTATTTTGTTTTATAGGAAATAATTTTGTTTCAAAATTCTTTTTTTATGTTTCGCGAATATTTTTTGAATGTTTTTTTGATATTCAAAATAAACCTTTTATTTTCATCAATTAATTTTGGATTTAAAAAGAATTTTAAAAATTCTATAAAAATTCCTAATATTGGCAAAAAACTATTGTTCTAACCAATCAGTTTAGCCGTCATTTGTGGTTTGCCTGAATTGGCTGAGGGGAGAGGTGCTTGGGCGGCCGTCATTTGTGGTTTGCCTGAATTGGCTGAGGGGAGAGGTGCTTGGGCGGCCGTCATTTGTGGTTTGTCTGAATTGGCTGAGGGGAGAGGTGCTTGGGCGGCCGTCATTTGTGGTTTGCCTGAATTGGCTGAGGGGAGAGGTGCTTGAGAAATACATTTAGATCACCAACAGTATATCGATTTTAAGAGTGGTTTTACTCTTGTCAGATGACAGAAATTGAACTCACCTTTGAATTTAGTCAGCGTACCACTTCACTAATCTGCCTATAATATGTTTTATTGGTCTGTCAGTTAGCCTTTTCTTATGTTAATTGGTTTCATTTTTAGGTTTCTGCGTTTTTCGAATACATAATCATTTTTTCGAAAAGTGATAGAATTGTTACTAATTTTCTTGCCAAAAACCTCGAGCCAAGAATTCATTTCATTTAAAATAACTGGAAGTCTAAAACTAATCGCTTTGTTAACTTTACTGTTTGGCCCACCCTGTTGCCTGTTGTCGTTGAAGTTCCTTATGCCAGGATATATAGAAAGGTACTTACAGAGGTATGTATATATATAGAATTTGACGATAAAACTATAATAATGCAACTGAAAAAAAGAAGAAAAAAAGAGAAAGCAAAGATTATCTTTTGTATTACTTTATTTTGTATTACTTTACCACTTAAGCGATGGTGGTGTAGGGCGTCGGATAACGTTTAAGTACCTTTTTAGCAAGCTTTTTTTTAATTTTTCATGGCTCAAAAAGATAAGCAAAATTAGTATTTTATAATTTGCTATGATATTTGAAATTCAAATATGCTTTTATTTGAAAAAAAGTGTTCATTATGTTTAATTTGCATAATTCCACTATATTTATTTTGTTAATTATTTATTTTTCTTAATGTTTCATAATTTAGATAGATAAAGCCGAGAAATGATTGGTGGTCTATTTGTTTATAACCACAAAGGTGAAGTTTTAATTTCGCGTATATATCGTGATGATGTGAGGTTATTTCATTTTTATTGTTTTATTTTAATTGTTTATTTTTCGAGATTGTTTTTTTTAAAAAACCTTATTGCAGTTGATCACAATGATTGTTTTTAATGCTTATTTTTGAAAATTTTTTAGTATTTTAGTATTATTAGTATTATTATTATTTTTTAGTATTTTTATAGTATTTTTTAAATTTTTTATTTTTTTAATTTGTTTTTTAAATTTTTTATTTTTATAGTTTATTTTTTATTCCAAGTTTTTTTGATTTTTAGCCGAAATGCTGTCGATGCTTTTCGAGTTAATGTCATACATGCGAGACAACAAGTAATTTTTCTTTTGATTATTATTGAAAAATTGATTAATTAATTGATTAGTTTTTTAAGACTTTTTTTTCTTAGTCTTATTTATATAATATTTTTGAAGCTTTTATTAAGGTTCGTACACCTGTTACTATAATGGCGAGAACTTCTTTTTTTCATATTAAGCGAGGGAATGTTTGGATATGCGCCGTCACAAGACAAAATATTAACGCAGCTATGGTTTTTGAATTTCTCAATAGGTTTATGCTGATTACGCTAATATGCTTTCATGGCTTTGTTCTTTTTTTCTTTTCATTATTATTTTAATTCTTTGATCTGTAATTATTGTAGATTTGCTGATACCATGCAATCATATTTTGGGAAATTAAATGAAGAAAATGTTAAGAATAATTTCGTCTTGATTTATGAATTATTAGACGGTAAGAAAGATTCATTTAAATATATTCCTTATTTTCATCTACTTTACTTAATAAAATTGAATTAATTTGATTAAAAACTAAGCATATTTATTGTTTGTGGTGTGATATTCGTTGGTTGTAAAAGCAGATTTCATAATCAGTTTGCCCAGATGCCTTTAGTCTTTGTTTTACTTACTTTGTTACTTTTTTACTCGAATTATATTCTGAATAATATTTTCGAAATTTACATGAATTGATAACGAAATTTTATGTATAATTCCAATTGCAGAAATTCTTGACTTCGGTTATCCTCAAAATACCGATCCAGGAGTGCTTAAAACTTTTATTACACAACAAGGTGTACGAACAGCGGTATGTTTAAAATTCAGTGTTATTTTCACTAAGCGTTTCTTTAAATAAGTTTTTTTTAAGATTGCAAGTAAAAAATAAGTTAAATAATGATTAACTAATCGAAAATTGAAATTTTTATATTTATCAAATAGTTTTTGCAAGAGAAGAGATCTGAAATATAGTTTAAAATCTGACGTTTATAGGCTCCTGTGGTATGTTTTTTTTTAAATTGAGAATATTGTGTCTAGTATATCTAGTATTGTGTCGTTGTTTTGTGCTTTTAATGGAATATCTCGTTATGTGCTATTGTTTATTACGTAAATAATGGTGTTAATATTGCTTGTTTTCTAATGTAAATGGTTAAATTATTTCCTTCAAATATTTGGCTTAATTATAAATGATTATGGGAAATTTAAGAGTAAAGAAGAGCAATCACAAATTACTTCACAAGTGACCGGTCAGATTGGTTGGCGACGTGAAGGAATTAAATATAGAAGAAATGAATTGTTTCTCGATGTTATTGAATATGTCAATTTATTGATGTCTCAACAAGGTCATTTCAGTTTATTAATCTTCAAAAAATAAAAAGTAGAAGACGCAGCAGACAGCAGTGAAATATATGGGCAATACGTTTTCAAATTATTGAGAATTTGAGCTTTTAAATCATAAAATTATTTTCAAAAAAGTACTATGTAAATAAGTGGTTTTATTAAGTAATTGGCCAAATATTACCTAATATAATTTAAGGGCAAGTTTTATCAGCACACGTTGCTGGAAAAGTAGCGATGAAGTCTTATTTGTCCGGAATGCCTGAATGTAAATTCGGCATAAATGACAAGTTAACAATTGAAGGAAAAGGGCGCTCAGGCAGCGATGATCCATCAAAAACGTTAGCAAATTTCAAACACAAAATGATTTAATTTTTCCGGAGTCTTTTTTAGTGAATGTTCCTTTTTTTGTTATTTTTCTGTATATGATCGATGAAATTTTAGGACGAGGACTTCCGTTGCAATTGATGACTGTCAGTTTCATCAATGTGTAAAACTTACCAAATTTGATACGGAACATGCAATCAGTTTTATACCTCCAGATGGGGAATATGAATTAATGAGGTGCTTTTATGTGGTTGTTTCTATTTAAAATTTCTAATTTTTCTCGTTTAGATACCGCACGACAAAGGATATTCAGTTACCATTCAGAGTTATTCCGCTAGTTCGAGAAACATCTCGCAACAAAATGGAGGTCTATCTAATAATCTAATAATATTTATATATTTATTTAAATATAAATATTTTTATTTCTCTTATAAGAGGAATGACTTATAAGTTATATTTCTTGGTGCATCAATGGCAGTTAATGGCGGAAATGATTGTTACCAAGAATCGAGAATTTGATTGGCATTTTGTCAAGCAATAGTTTTCCCGTACGGCGAAAACGAGGAAAAGAGGTAGAATGGCACAGTTTGGAACGCCAATATGCTGTGATTATGCTTCCTGCAAGAGTGTCTTTCAAAAATCGAGATGGCGATTCTCCTGCATTTCTATCACCAATTCTTCTCAAAATTTATTTAATTCGATAAGCGAGTAGAATGAGCATAACCAGTAATAGCTCTTAGAAAATAAAAAATTTATGTTTTAGGTAAAAGTTGTGGTTAAATCAAATTTTAAGCCATCACTTCTTGCTCAGAAAATCGAAGTGCGTATTCCAACTCCACCCAACACAAGTGGTGTGCAGTTAATATGTATGAAAGGCAAAGCAAAATATAAAGCCGGTGAAAATGCAATAGTTTGGAAGTGCATATTTGTCAATTATTTTCCCATTAAACTAATTAGAAAAAAATTACAAACTTGGTGAAAAAATCAAAAATTGGAGTTTTTTTATTCTTTTTTTATTTTTTTTATTGGTTTGTCAAAGGAATTTATGCCTTAACCTTTTAAATTTTCTGGATTTTTTCAATTTTTAAAGATATTTTAGAATTAAACGAATGAGTGGAATGAAAGAATCTCAAATATCTGCTGAAATAGATCTCTTAAGTACAGGCGCCGCTGAGAAGAAAAAATGGAATCGTCCACCAGTCTCAATGAATTTTGAAGTAATTTTGATGAATTTTGACCTTTTTTGACTTTCCTGTATTTTTATTTTTTACATATTGGATTTTCATCATGTGGGAAGAAAGAATGGAGTGGATTGTCCTTTTTTATCTAAATTTTTACCAAGTTTGGATGAGTCGAAATCAGTTATTGCTTCTTATTTTTTTTGTTTAACTGTATCATAATTTTAAATTTTATAATTTTAAAATTTTTTTCTAAAATTTTTCTCGTATTTTATTATTTGCAATTCAGGTACCGTTTGCTCCGTCTGGTCTCAAAGTTCGTTACTTAAAAGTGTTTGAACCTAAATTGAATTATTCTGACCACGATGTCATCAAGTGGGTTCGTTATATTGGCCGATCTGGTTTATATGAGACTCGTTGTTGATAATTCTTTTTGTTCCTGGAAATTTTTTGAGTTTTATGTTCATTTTTATTTCAGCAGTTATTTCAATTGTTTTAATAGTTTATTTATTTCAAAAATTTAGTTTTCAATGGATTCAGTTTTACCCAGATTCTTATAGTTTATTAAATTTCCTAACAGTCGATTATCGCATTGTAGTACCTTATTTTGTCCTTTCAGTTTACTATTAGTTTACTTTTTTGCATTTTAGTCTAAGTTTTGCTGAATTTTTTTCCGTGAAGCCTCTCTTATTAAATCACCAGAAAGCATTTACTTCACTAATTCACTAATCCTTAGGATATATTTACAAGTATTTGTGATGTTTTGGTTGCTTATAATTTTTTTCCAAGTGATTATTTTCTTTAGCATTTTAAAGCACTCTTTAACAATAACGACTTATCTATTTGGAGAATAGTTTTATTGATGAGGTTTAATATTTGTTTTAAAATAATTAAAAATGAAAATAATTTGATCTATCTAATCTAATATTGCCGTAGCAATTTTCTGCAGTATTTAGCTGGATGCTTTGTTTTCAATTTTCAGCGTTCATTAACTATAAAAGGTTTTGGCTAACAAGAGTGGATTCCTATATTTTAAAAAGAAAAGTTTATATATCATTTTTACAAAAATTTATTTTAAGTTTTTTCTTGCGTTAAATGTTTTTATTTTATTAAAACTTTACTGCGAGAATAAAAAATTTGTTAACGCTACTTGTTTAAGCGAATTTCGACAATTTGTTTTTGAAGAAGTTCATAATAATATATTGTTGTCTTCAAATGTCTCCTTAAGAAAAATTACTAAATTACCAAATCGTATTTTCGGCCGAAATGAGTTTAAAATGAGTCTAATCAGCAACGGTAAGAGTTAATCGCTTAATTTTTACTTAAGTTAAGATTAGTTAAGATTTGGCTTGTTCTTTTTATTAATTTATTGCTTAAGTTTTATTAATTTATTAGTTTTATTAATTTATTGCTGAAAAGTTAAGATTTGGCTTGTTCTTTTTATTAATTTATTGCTAAAGTTAATCTATCTTTTTATCTGTTGGAGATAGAAGTTTACCCTTAGCACACATTTTAATGATAGATTTACCAAGGGACAAAGAGCGATGAATGGTGGTGGATGCTTGGAACTTTTGCCTTTTTCCAGTTTTTATAGACTGAATTAAATGAATGTGTATTATTTAGAATTCCATTAATAAATCATTCGGTGAAGTATTTATTAATAAACTATCAAACCAACAAATTATATAGGAAATAGTCCATTAATGAGCTAATATTTCCATATAAATTAAAACCATTGAACATAATAAGTGAAGAATGCAAATCAACGAAGGAAAAAGATGGAAATCTATTTAGCTCCGCCTTAGGCAAATTTTAAGAAAATCAAGCTACTGGGAAAGATTGTCGAGCATATTTGGTGACAATAATATGAATTTAACTAGTAATGCGGTTGTTGCGATTAATGAATCGATGTGTGATGTTGATTTGGAAACGAATCGTCGTTTTATTTTTGTTAGGTTATTTCTTTAATCAAATTTTAGACTTCGAAAAATTTTTAAATTTTAACTTTTAAAAAATTTTATATCAAATTTTAACATAAAGGTTCATTATCGTTTATCAGAAATATTACTCTAATACTTCATTTCCCTTCCTCTAGTAGTAACAAATCCAAGTGGCACTATAGGCTCATCCATACTTTCCCAATCTCTCTGGAAAAGACTCCTCATTATATCAACAGCAAGTGGAAGAAAGTGGTGAGTCTTAGCCAATTACCCATTACTATTTATTACTATATGCATTTTGCTTCCTCTAAATTAGGTGGAAGGAAAATGAAATGTTAGAGTAATATTGCTGGTAAAAAGAGAAAGTTTCAATAGTGTTTTTCTAATGCAGTCGTGTGATGCTGGCGACTCACCTGTACTTCTATCGCCAAGGGACTCCCTGGCATATTGTTCAATGCGACGAGCCAGTGGAGCGAGTTTAACCAATAATAGTGAGGATTCTTAAGAAGAAGAAGAAGAATGCAGTCGTGTAAGAAAGTTATAAGATGGAATATTTAACATATCATCAATATTAAAATTGCACCTGATTTTTCCAAATTTTTCTTAATTTATTATGATTTTTTAAGTAAATTGACTTGAATTTTCCCTATTATCCTAATTTATAGACAAACTTTGAGCAAAATTTCAATTATATTTGAGGCATTGTTACTAAAATTTAGGATATTCTCTGACTCTATGCTTTCAACATTGATTTTCTTCTAATGCCTTTAGTTAAAAATCATCGGCAATCGTCAAAAATGATTTCTTCCAATAATTTCTCCTTCAGGCTCATGCATAATATATAAGAATAATATATAAATAACGTCGTGGAAAGAATTAGCTGGAAAGTTTTAAGAAAATAGATAACTTATCTATTGAAATGCTATTTAGAATTTAATTGATTTGAAATATAAACTTTTTTAATACTTAAATTCTTCGTTCAGAAATAGAGAAAAATAAAAATATGGCCTAATTTTAAGCAATAATTTAATTCAATTATTTTTGGGTCAAATAAATAATTTGATAATTTAATTTGATAGAAAAGGACCGAGATTCATTTCTCTTCCATTATTAGCAGGCGAGAGGATGGCGAATAACATATTGCTTCATTAAAGGTCAAGCATTGTGGCTCCATTCCCTTTATTTGATAAGTGAACTCATAATTAAAGTTAAAATTCGACTGATGGTGCTAGGAAGTGTCTGCACCTCCTCCTCAAAATTTTCAACGAGTAGCGTCTTATTCCAGAATCCAGTGGAGCCAATATCCAATCAAACCAGTAAACACGAATTGGTTAACCGAAGTATAGTGTGAGCAAATGATTATATTAAGTCCACAAGTATTGAGGGGTACTATATAGTTGTAGGCCGGGAACTTTCAGCTTTTATCACCAAGAAACTATAGCCTTTGACCTTTTGGCAAATAAAAAAAATCTGTGATTATGAGAATAATTCCGAAGAACCATTGCAGTATTGGTGCATTGCTTGCGATTACTGGTTGTCTATGCAATTTATTGTTACTGATTATATTTATTATTGGTCGTCGTCGCCAAAATATTTCACTTTATTATAAATTGTTGGCATTTCTCGACTTACTTATTTGTTTTACCTATATTTGGATGTTTTTCTTACCGAAATTTTCGGAGATTTTGCGGATTGAAACATTATATATTCTCGTGTGGCAAGCAAACATTTTCGTTTACACGGTTGCACGAATGACGCAATGCGCTATACCGTATATTATTATTGCACAAACTGCTGAACGATTCATGCATCTAAAACGAGGAAAAACGTTTGCTCATAAGTTGGTTTCGTCTTTCCAAATTGCATCTTCCAACTAAGTTGAAATTTAAATTTGAAATTTGCAGCAACGCGCAATTTACATTGTAAAATAAATTATGAAATAAATGGTTTGGACCAACATTGCAATAATTATTTGATTCCAATTTATTTGTTTAAATAAAGGCCAAGTGAGATGCAATTGAGCACTTAGAACGAATTAATACGAGTAAAACGGAAGGAAAACAGAGGCACGGAATTAATTATCAATTCGTCGGGCATCTTTTTCCATTTCGACTTTCGCTTTAGTCCTTTTAGTGCAAAGACAGCATTAGAAACAATATAGCAATGTTAGTAGTAGCAATGTTTAGTTCTCTTTTAAAATTATGCAGCATTAGCCGCATTATAGGCCTAATTTTTTTATTATTCAAAACTGCCATTTTATTCCTCTATTTTTATTATTTATGTGTGGTTGTAATCACTCATTAAAGATTATTTGATTAAGATTTTGTTGAGCTTAATTATTTTTATCGAAAAATTATCTTTAAAATCGTATTTTCTCGTGTATCATATTTGTGAATTCAATATCCTAATTGGCTAAAGCGATCGCTTTTTCGAAATACCGCTATTGTAAGGGAAGGGTGGTTGAGTGATACACGAGAAAATATTTTAAAGATAATTTTTCGATAAAAACAATTAAGCTCAACAAAATCTGCGTTGTTTTGAGTGAAATCAAGAGCATTAATTAACAGTTAAACCCTTGTCTCTTGGCAAGGCTAAATCTTTTTTTATTCTCAAATGGCTCTTAGGCGAGTGGTTCTTATCCTAATAGCCAACCAAACCATCAGTATTTTTAGAAGAAGAAGAAAATCCTCGTGAAAATCTTCAGTTGATATAGGTATTGCTGATTATTCTGAAGCCAATCGGCTTAGGTGTTGCATTCTGCCTTCAATGATGCAGTGAATATCAATTTAATAAAAATTTATTGATACTGATATTTACGAATAAAAGTATCAGAGTTTATTGAATCCTTAAGGCTTTTTTGTACTTTCCTAGATTTAAAATAGTTTTCATGCTTATTTACTTTGTCATTGTCTATTATTAAATGATTGGATTTCTTTGCTTTTAAAAATTTCCATCCAAAGACCAATATTCGCTTTTTTTTTTATTCTTTAAAGAAAGATTAATTTAATCATTTCGAAATTTCGTAGAATGCAAGATAATTTATAATTTTTGTTTTATAGATTATAAATTACAAAACAAAATTACAAAATAAATATTACAAAATTTCGATGGAAATAATTTATGATATGAATTGAATTTTAATTTGCCCAATTTTAATTTAATTGGATTAACATTTAAACTGATTTTAGTAATGCATTAAAATATGTGCACATTTTAAATTTATTTTTAATTTGCAATTTTTTAAAATTCTAAAGTTTCTTAAATAATTTTAAACTCAGCTTTAAACTGATCTTACTCACTTACATCTTATCAAGAATGCTATCATTTTTTTTTCAATCATCTATGCCTTGGGAATTTTAAAGATTGATTTCAACAACCTCTTTCGCGAATCGTTTTTTTGAAAAGTTTTGAAAAGTTTAGCTTTCTCGGCAAAATCATTAATGAAAATTATAAAAACAAAGCGATTTATAAGTATTTTATTGCTTATATTATTATAGACTTATATTGAAGACAATACATAAGATAGAAATAAATGGAAATACAAAAAATGGCTTCTATATTAACGATATTTTTTCTAATAAATTTAGCTCATAATGACATTTCATTGCGGGTGATCGAAAATATAAATTTAAGATTTATTTAAAAATCTAAAATACGAATTTTATCAATTAAATGTAAGAATCTAAAATTTATTTAAGATTTCTTCGAAATTCTTCGAAATATTTGAGAAAAAGTAACGAAAAATTCCCAAAAAATTTTGTTATATATTTAATTACTTATTTACGATTAAGACCAATTTATTTTTCTACTTTTCGCTTTACTTTGTTGGCTGTCAATCAGTGCTGAAAAATTTCTTTGTTAATTTCTTTTTTTATTGAATTGTTGTTTAGTATCGAATAGAAAATTTCCTTTGGCAAATAATTATGTTCGATAAAATTGCGAATTTTTAGGCATATTATTATTATAAGAAAATAAAATTATTTTTCTATCAAATGTTGACGTTTTTTAATTGCAATTTGTAAGAAATTTGTAAGCGATATTTTTGCATGGAACAATGAATCCAAAATTTAAGATTGATTTAAAATTTAAAAATATTATCTTTATTCGGATTTTGCTGTAAGTTGGCCGGAATATATCACCTAATAAATTAATAAAATTCAATAATTTAATGAGGTAAATAAATAAATTAATTAATAACAAGAAAAAATTATTTTCGAAGCCGATTTTCCTTCATAAACAAAATCTTTTGCCATAATTCTTTTCTCAGAAAAAATTTTAGTTCTTAAGATTTTTATTTGCAGCTCATCCGCACAAAATTAGTGCATTAAACGAATTTTTTCATATAAATTGAGAAAAACTAATTAAGTGGTAGATTTATATCATATTATTCTTATTTAAAAGCAAGAATGTACAATCGTGGACTTTTTGCGCCAGGTAAATTCTTCACAATTGGACACATTTCGCAGTCACATAACAAGATCTTACGTGTTATAGCTAGATGGATATAAACTTTGATGGTAATTTTGAGGCATTCCATGGCTTCGCCGGAAATAAAGCATTTATAGCTGCGATTATCAGGGCTGCAATTTGCCTTTTACAAGTGGCATTGGGCTAGATTCAAGATATGCGAGACAAAACCTGGCATTTCCCCACGCTAACTTACGCTAACTTAATAAAAGCAAGTATTTTATCAGCGTCCGACATATAAATTGAAAAGATTACGATCCTTATTTGTATTGATTGAATCCGATTTTCACTGCTGCTATCGATGCATTATTTACCACCCATTGGATTCCTTCATAACTATCTACATCATCGGTGTGTTCGAAATTCGTGCCAATATGCGCTGAATCGACTTGTATAACTCCTCGAGTGCTGGCAAAGAGTAACTCAATCCGTCATATTGTTGAATATCGTATGGCGGAAGAGCGCAACCTTGGTGGGCACCAGTTATTATTTCGAAAAAATCTACTTTTTCCCACATATATATATATATAGACCTAAGCCCGTAAAATGGGTTATGATTCGAATGATCTTTTCTGGAACACTCCATCACCCTCCAAAACGTTGTTCTCTTAATTAAGTCGAGGGCAGCGCAAAATTAATCACAAGTGAATCACAGAAGCACTTTTCCAAATACTCTCTTTAGCATGGTCACCGGTGATTCAGCTTGGTTATGACGAATTCTTCTATTTCGTAGTCTTACAAGCCTGGGGCGAAAGTTCTCAGAAGAGGAGAGAGAATTTTCTCAGAGATAGTGGGCCAATTTCTCGATAGCTGTCTCGTAAGTTCTATCTTGGGGAATCGGAGCAGAACTGCTCCAGTCATTTGGTATTGATTCTTTTTTTCTTTTTGTACCAGAGAGCATGTTGAAGGTGAGTAATAAAAAATTTGAAGACTATACGTTTGAAGACAGTTGAAGATTTCATTCGAAGACCGTTTTTTCTTCAGGAAATTGACTTATTTCCGAATGAGGGATATTATTTCTTCTTGATTCCTTGATTGGCTTCTCGCAATTTACAAATATATGGCTCGTTTTAATTGTCTTGGATTGCAGATGGCGTATTGTGGTTTAGCCTCAAAGAATTCCTTCCACTACAAAGTGGTTTTTGATAGCGTTAATTAATATTATTCCAACCAAATTATTATTATTCCAACTCGTTTCGCTAACAGGTTCCCAACAGGACACTGCTTCCTACATATTGTCAGTTTCATAACCTATGGCCCTCTTTTAATCCCCTCAGCTTTATGTGGATCTTGATTCGATTTATAATGTGGTCCGATACTGTTTCAACACCGTGAAAAGTGCGAATATTTAGTACGGAAAATGATGGCTGACCAAGATATAATCATTGTTTGGACTGTTGGGTGTTTGAGAAATTCCATGGGACAAGATATCTTTTCCGATGCTGGAAGCATGTATTGGAAGCAAATAGACCGAAATAGTCTCTAGGTTTCTCCATCGATGCCATGGATCTCAATGCGACATTTATCAGGCACAAAACCTATATCGACACCGGACCTATGTGCTTTTTTCAATTTCCTCCAATTATGTCATCTTCGATAGAAAGATTTCCAGTCCTGCATAGAGCCTTTTTTTATTTTTGGCGTGATCATCTGTAGCGTAAGAACATAAGGCTGATGATCGAGGTATTATAAAAATTATCTTTGGATGGGGCATAGACCATACCGTTCGTCGCAGTTCATTCAAAACTGATTGAGCTTTTTCATGGCTATCGTTGATTTATAGCGAATTATCCGATGTGATTACATATCTCTTTTTCTTCATTTTTAGCAGTAATTTTCGTGGCATAAAAATTTAAATAGTGCAATTGATCCCCACTGCAAATTCGACTAAAAAAAATTAATTTTGCGAAATTTATAATACTGCAAGTTTAATTTTGAAAAATTTCTATTTTCTTTAAAAAAAGGTTTAAAAACCCTTTAAAAAAACTCAAAACAGAATTGCATTTTAATTAAAATTTCAATTTATTCTTTTATTGCAAAAATATTTGTCGAAAATATTTTTCAATTTTTTTGCTTCTCATGGAACAATTTGAGAAAATTGACTAAGCAATTCTTTTAAAACTTCATTTTTGCTAAATTTTAGGATTTGAAAAAATTTTTTATTTAAATTTTTTATTTTTATTTAAATTTGGTTAATGATTAAGTATGGCGATTATTTCATTTATTTTAGCGAATCGAATCAAATATTCATTATATTTGCTATTATCTTTACGATAGTCCTTTTACGTGTACCAACAATGTGGGCTATGGAACTAACAACTATCGAAGACTGCGATCTTTTCGAAAGCAAATTTTTAAGCCCAACTGAGTTCAGTCAAAACGAAGTATTCAAAGCATTCGATATTATTGTTAATGTATTCTTTTTTTCATTTTTCAAAATTTTCTTATTACGCAATTATTTCATCGAATAACACGAGTTTTAGTTTTAATTTGACCATAAATCTTATCGTTGCTGCACAGTCGTTGGTTTTTTTCCCTTAATTGAATGAAATTTCTAAAATCTTGCCAGGAACGAAATAGAAAGCAAATAAATTATCTTATAAATTATTTGTTAATTAATTTTGTCCCTTCTTTTTGATTTAATTCATCAAATTTTGAATAAAGGATTGTGAAGAATATTTATCTCGATCAAGTTCATAATATTTTCATGGAAGAATTAATTCTAATTTCCTTGGCTCGATTTCAGTTTCTGCATATAATAGCATCATTTCTCATTTTGCTTGCACTTAATATAATAATAATTCGAGAACAGCAACACAGCCATCGTACAGCACGAACAGAAACCGCGTTAATGAGTGCATTGCTTGTTTTCAAGGTTAGTTTCGATATATTCTGAATTCCATTTTACTGCAGCTTCGATTATATCCGTTCGATAAAATCTTTTAATAGCCTTTAAGCTATAATAACGCTGGCTTTAAGATGTTTTTTCGTTATCGTAAGATTCCCACATTTTAAGAATATTTTTTTATATATAATATAATATTTATAATCTAAGAATATAATATTTTTCAATAATTGAAACTTATCCTAAATGTATCATTTGGATCAAATTTCCATTTTTAAGGATAAAACATTAAATTAATGGAAAAATGACGATGAATTGCTTTTTTTTTAGCAAAATAATGGTGATCTCGGTCGAGAAAAATTAGAAAGATTTCGACTTCGAGCAGCAATAAATACTACAGTTGTTATCATAAGTGCTTATTTAGCTTGTAATAGCTTACACTTTTGTTTATTCATCATCGAACAATTCGATCCATCATGGCTTTTAGTAAATTTTAAAATTTTTTTCACTTGTTTGATTTACAAAATTCATAAATAACTCTAGAAAATATTTTATAAATATTTTTGAAAATAACATATTAGGCCATTTTCAAATGTTCTAATTTTTATAAATTTTTACTATAAATTTTTTTGCTTAAATGAAAACTTATTTGTTGTTAAAATTTTAAAACATTTATTTTATAATACCTTTTTAATTTATAATTTACAATTATTATATTATAACTTTATAATTATTATATTTTAAAATATTATAAATTTATACATGTAAATATTCAAGTATATATTCACGTTTAACTCCTCAGTAACCGATTTGTTTCAGCATATAGGGCGACTTTAAACATTTTATAATTTTCGACTCTCCTATGCAAAATGAGATTAATGCCATGGTACACATCAAAATTGGAATTAACACAGCATTTTTAAAGTCTAATCATATCATATCTTTTAATATTATTCACATAAAATTGGATATGGGCGATGATTAGTGGTGGGAAATGGGATAATTGAGAGACCCATTGCAAGACCCATTTATATTATCTTGATTACGTTGAATTTTCATTCTGAATACTGAACCAAGCCAAATATAAATAAAAAATTCATTAATCCGTAAAAAGCCTTCAAGCACATCGGAGGTACTAAGAGGAAGTAAAGGATTTTTTGCAGAATGAAGCTGGCGATGATTTTAACTCGGTTTATGTGATGCTCGGCGATTTTGTCAGCGTTCTGTTTGTCGTATCATCAATGATTCGATTACCAATTTATTATAAATTCAATTTGCAAATTCGCGGACAAATTGATGCGATATTCGGATTTAAAAATGGTCGAAAGTATTCATCGAATGATTAACTATTATTTTACTACAGAATGATTCATTATCGAAAATTATATTGCAAAAAAATAAAATTTCGCAAAATTCTATTCGAATGATTCGGAATAATTGACCGAAAAGCCATTTGTCTGACTCACTTATTGTCGAAATATATTATTAATAAAATATATAAATTATGAATAATGAATATAAAATATAAAATATAAAATAAAATGTTTTAAGTTAACATAAAAGAAAAAGAAAAATTTGGACTTAGAAAATATTGGCAAATTATAAATTAATTCGATTTATGTCGTATAAAGAAAAAAAATAGATAACAGAAATAGTAATTTAGTTCATAAAGATTAATCAAAAAAATGAAAATTAGATTTCTTTCGTAGACGAATCGTGTTTTACAGGAATCCACGTATTTCCATCCATTGATCGTCGACAAATTTTGACCTAAAAGTTCGTTTTTACTATAAACATCAAAAAACCCCTTTCTCATACCTGTGGGTGGCAAGGGCCATCCTTAGCCTCAGGTCTTCTGCCAGAGGCGTGGGAAATTGAGGGTCCTGCGAAGTACTTTAGTTCTTTCTAATCGTGCACTTTTTTGGATAGAGATTTTTAATATTCTTCCTGGAATCTGCTGAAACTATTTTTCTGGTTTAAAGATCAATTACTCCAATTATCACTGGAATTACTTTCATTTTCCACATCTTCTTTAATTACCCTTTCAGTCCCTAGTCTCTAATTTCTCATATTCTTAAAGTTCCCGTCACTTGGTTTTGCTATATTCATCACCAATATTGATTTCTGATTCCTATTACTACGATCTGGTTGATTAGCCAGTTTGTCCATTGTGAGATGGAGAAATTCCAAAAAATGTTCGCATTTTTCTTCACGACCGTTCTTCATGTTCGCATTTTCTAGGGAATCTGCCATCTAGCCTTGGAAGAGTCTAAGCCATATAGTGGATATTCCTGTTTATCGTCCCTGCTTGCATTTTACATCCTGCCACTATGTGTCGGAGTGTTTTTGGAGCACAACCTACATCTTGAATCCTATTTAGTGTGGTAGAATCGTGCTTCTGTGGATCGGATATCAGCTTAATATCAGCTCTTGTGTTGCTATGATTAATGCTTATATAATGATTAATGCTTATATAGATATAGATATATATATAGATAGATAGATATAATTAGATAGATATAATATAGTCATTTATAATTTGCCAAATGAATAAGTTCATTATCAAAAATTTTCTATTTTCAAACAGTTCGCTGTTCTGGTTGGCTGGCTCAACTATTAGCTTTCGATCGAGGGCTTTTTTTAAAAAACCAATTTTGGGTAGCTGAGTCCCTAATACCACTTAAAGTCAAAGAATCGGTAATAATATTTATCGAAAACCAACTAAAAAAAATTTGAATGAAATTACATATAATTTCGTATCCCGTCAGGTAGAATAACAACGCATTTTTGATCCTCACTTAAGCATTTAGCATTTTGCAAAGCAGCACATAAATTAGATCCTGAACTTCCGCCGCAAAGTATACCCTCTTCTCTGATTAGACGACGAGCCATTTTAAATGAATCTTTATCATTTGTTTTTGCCCAAATATCAACGATATTACGATCCAATGTTAAAGGGAGAAAATCGTCACCAATTCCTTCAACCTATAAATTGGCCGTTTCATCTTTCTTTTAAATTTCAGTCTTTAATAATATTGAACCGAATTATATGATAAAAACTGTATACATTCAGTCTTTAATAATATTGAACCGAATTATATGATAAAAACTGTATACATTGAAAATATTTTTATAATATTGCTATAATAAATATTGTTATAATTGCTATATTGCTATAATAATATACAATTGCTATAATACATTGAAAATATTGCTGAATTTAAAAATTTGCAAAAAAAGAAAAAATTTATAAATAGGAAAAAATTTTTAAAAAAATTAATTTCCAAATTTTTTTGGGATATTTATTGCAATTCAAATATCCAAGACAGTTAACAGTTATTGCAGTTTTTAATAAGGTTGTTAAATATAAATTAAATATTTCTTTAAAATTTGCTAATTGTTCCAAAATGATTCATTTAAATGATTATAATTTATTATTATTTATTATAATTTAATTTAATTTAATATAATTATTTATTATAATTATTATTTATTATAATTTAAATAATCAAAAGAGAAAAAATACCTCATATAATGAAGGGCGAGAAGTTAATGGATTTGCTAAAATCGATCCTTCCGGATCTGCTGCCACTATCTAAAAGCAAAGTATAAAAATAATGTTAAGGAATCGAATCAACTGCTTCACATGATAGTGGAACAAGCTAATCAGCTATTTTCTGAATCTTTGACAAGGCAAAATTCAATCGCTTTAAGTTAGAAAATTCATTTCAATTTCATTTCATGGATATTTTTAACTGCATATTAATTTGTTGCTTACGATACAGTTAGGGCAAATTTCCTTTATCTTGTATGCAGCTCCAGTCAAGGTTCCACCTGTTCCTGTTCCGGCGACGTACATGTCAACATGATCATCCAGTGCATAAAGAATTTCTTCAGCGGTGTTTTCATAATGAGCCAATGGATTGCATATATTTTGAAACTAAAGTTTTAGTCCAATTAAAATGATTCACAAGTAGCATGGCAATTTCTGTTAAGAAATTAACTAATATTATAAAAAAAATCAGTTAAGCCAAAAATTCCATAAAATTCCATAATCATGGAGTGCATTAAAAAATCCTTAATGAAAATGTTGTTTTAAAAAATTATGTAATGGATAGGAACAAAATAAAAGTTTGAAATCATATTCGTATTGCTATCTTAAAATTCAGTAGGGTGTTCAAATTACGTAAATAATGATAATCAAATTACATTAGCGAGAAGTTTCCCATGTTTCGAAAAATTGAAAAAAAATTAAAAGCTTTAAACAAATTATTTTACCTGATCTAATATTATAGCACCTTTTATTTCATCTCGGAGCCGCATGGCGACACCAAAATGCGAATCTGGGCTATCTGTGGACACTTCAGTTGGTGTTCTTACAACTTCGGCTCCAAAAGCTTGTATAATATCTGCCTATATAGAACGCATTGTTCACTAAAAATATTCAAAAAATTCTGGTTCTAAATAAGATTTCTTACTTTTTCTCGGCTCATTTTTTCAGGCATTACAATAATACAACGATATCCTCGTATCGCGGAAACCATAGCCAAACCTAAGCCAGTATTCCCTGATGTAGGCTCAATTATTGTCATTCCAGGCTTAAGTTTGCCTTGTTGTTCAGCTACTTCGATCATTCGCAGTGCAATTCGGTCTTTTACAGATCCTGCAGGATTTAAGTATTCACATTTCACATCTAAAAACGATTAAGGAAATATGGTTGCTAAAAATTGATATTATTGTATACTATTGTTATTATCATTATTTATTGTAATTTGTTTAGTAGCTAAGTTTTCAAGAAAAATATAATTTATAACTTACAAACTTGGCATTTGATTCCCATCGATTCGGATATTTTATTTAATTTAACAAGCGGAGTATTACCAATGGCTTCAAGTGCATTTTTAAATAACATTGGTCTGTGAAAATTTGGCAATGACTGTGCTGTCTCACCAGCAGCGCGATTTGGTGCACCTCTGAAATTTGGAAATAAAAAATGAAACGAAATGAAAAAATTTCGAGGTTAAATATTTTGCAAAAATTAGTACCTCCAAGGTTTAAACGGAATTGGGAAAGTATTTATTTCAGGATTTAGAGTACTCCAAACATAATCCACTTTTCGGCTTTTCGGTGGATAATCTATTGAACTACCATAATGATGTTCTCTGCAAACGAAAAAAATTTACAGATATCTTTCTCTAATAAAGTTCTGCAGATCGAACTATAAAATGATTGTTGGCAACGACCCGAAGTATGGAACATATTATAAAAGTAGAATAGTAAAAGTAGTTTTTTTCTGCCTTCAAATTCGTTGGTATAATGGGGATGTTAGGATTGAATTTGAGTTATCCTTAACATTTTATTGCTCATATCGCATTCTTCTCTCTATTCTTACAAATTTTACATTTCGACTTATTTTTTTGTTTTTATTAATTATTATCAACCTTATACTTTATAATTGTTATCAACATTATACTTTAACTGCCGTGTTTATTTGCGCATTAAAGATTATTAATTATTGCTTGTTTTCTCTGCTATAATAAGCGAACTAACGATTTAGGGCGAATTGCTTCTTTAGCGATCTTTTTTATGAAACCTTTACTTATCATCCAGTCATCGCTGACGAATTTTGTCCTGAATTTGAATCCAACATTACCGAATAATTTGACAATATAAATGATTCCAATAGATTTAATTAGCAGTTATTTTCAAGCAAGCACATAAAATAAAGCATTAAAAACGCATTAAAAAATACAGAATAGTTCCAAAGATTTTCACAAATGAGTCAAGAAACTAAAAATTCATTCCTTCCAATTTCCTTTTCTTTTGCTAAAAATTGTTATGGAATTTTCAACCTTTTCCCATTGCATATCGATTATAATATTTAAACACTAAAATAACTATTAAGTTGAAAGAAGTACATGTAATTGCGAACTGTGTCATGAAGAATTACAATACAGTTTTGTCCTTCGCTCATATCTTCACAAGCCTTTATTGCAGCGATGATAGCAGCGCCAGAACTACCTCCACATAAAAGTCCTTCCTCACGGATAAGGCGCCGGGCCATTCTAATCAATTTATTAATCAGTATCATAATTTTTAAAAAATTTAAAATTTCTAATTTAAAGCTACAAAATTTCTTATATGCGATAGCATTGCAATTATACTCTAAATCTCAATAAGGACTTATAGAAAAAATTAATGCATCAAAAAGTGCCATATTATCTCCAAATCACAAGCGATAATCTCATTAAAAATTGCAAATAAAACCAAAAATATAGGAGAAATTAATAAATTAACAATTAAATTTTTTCTTCTTCTAACGATTCTCACCATTACTGGTTAGGCTGGCTTCGCTGGCCACAAGGCTAAAACATCCAATCTGCTCGGTCCGATGTCCGATGCTAGTGTTAATACAAGCCATTTTTTTTCCATCGTCTAAGTCCATATATCCTGATTCCCACTAGACTTTCAAAATCTTTCCTAACTATATCAGTCCAGGTCTTGATTGGCCCTCTTCGCTTTTCCTTCCAGGGTTGGGCAAATGGCGAAATATGCACTAATTCCTGTGAGGGACGACGGTGTATGTGCCGTAACGAGCGAAGACTACGCTCTATAATAATATTATTAATACAAGTGGTAAATGAACGAAGACGGATACAATCATGTACGATTTTATCCGCTCGATGGAAAATGTATCTTAGATATGAGTGGTCAAAGGCTGATAAATTCTTAATATCATCCACTCTCATTGACCATGTTTCGCAGCAATATAGCAAGATCGAGGGAATTGCAGTTATATGGACGCAGATTTTCGTCTTTTTGGTGAACGATAGTTCCATAAAGGTTTCATCAACCGGAAAACACATTCCTAGTTGTCGTTATCCGGGTTTTCATAATTTCATCTTTTGCCTGGCCGTTTGGGATTAGAGTGGATCTAAGATATTTGAAATCGAGCACTTCCTCAACTAGCAATGAATTGACAAAATTAGGTATTTTATCAGCATAATAATTAAATTAATAAAATTTAAATTAATAATATTTTGGTGAATAAATTCATTCATCATGTTTTGTAATTCTCAAATAAATTATTAAAGTAGTGGCTGCCAAAATTTTTAATTGAGACCTCAATAAATAAATTCTTAAAAATTACTGATGACCCAGTAAAACATTTTGTATAAGTTTATTTATTCTTTTTTATTTTTTGGTTTATTTTTCGTCATTTAACGAAATAGAAATTAAAAAAGAATTTTTGTATATATTAATGTGTTTACTATATTTTATAACTGTATTTATAATAATACGCAATAATATACCAATTTTATATCGGGAACCGGTCGAAAAACTCTGGAGACTTTCAGATGCTTAATACTTACAAGCTTAATTTTGGGCACCGCTGATGCAAACCAAAATAAATATCTCACGGAATGAGATAGGAAAGCGCCTTCAAATTCATGATCAATTATTCAGCAGCTTAGAGATTTTTACATAAAATTCTATTGGTTCTTCCTTGATGAGCCGAGTTATTACTTTATGTGAAATTAAGAATGAAATAACCTGAATGATTCTCCATCTGTTACTTCGATGAATTCATCTATAATTTCCTGACCAAATGAAATTGGTATAAAGTCATTACCAGTGTCTTCAAGCTCGCTGATTTCAGCATCATTGTAAGGAGGATTGACAGCAATCATCGAAACAGTTTTATCATAATTTTATGTAGAAAATATATAGAAAACCTATATCATAAGAAAAAGGCAAATTGCAAACTCAGATTTTAATTTAAAATTTCTTTCCTTATGAAATTTCGTGAATTTCCCGCTTTCAGTAAAATAGTAAATATTTTGTAGCCTAAATTTTGTGACAATTTAGTTTGCCAACCTTGACGTTTGGGCACTTTTCTTTGATACGTCGACCAATCCCACTGAAAGAACCACCCGTATTAACAACCGAAACAATTGCATCTACTTTATTATCCAAAGCATATAGGATTTCGGCTCCAGTGCTTTCATAATGAGCAAGAGGATTTGCGATATTCGAGAACTGCAGTAAGAATATTAAATCGTACTTTTCATTCTTTCGTGATCTAATGTTTAAATATGATACAATTAATAAGAGATCAGAAAAAAAGTTTTTTCCAAAATGATGAAAACCATGGATAAATCATCTCAAACAAATTCTCCATATCACATTTCAAGCAATAAATTTATCTCTTATTTGTCCAGTAAATAAGTATTTTCGAAGACTGGTAATTCCCTTCTTTAATAAATTTGTGTGCTTCATTTAAATTGTACAACCTTTCTTTTTTTTATCTAATTCTTTTCTTTAATCCATTATTTAAACGTTAAAGTGAAATTTTTTGATTTCTTAATATCATACTAAATTATTAATATTAAAATGTTAAAATTCATTTTAGATGGCAATTTTTCATATATTATTTTAATATTATAATTTCATGATAGACCTGGTCCAGAATAACTGAATCTTTTATTTCTTTTTGAATTTTCAATGCGAAATTCATGAAATCACAAGCGGAATCATTTGGAACATGAACAACTGTCGCACCAAGCGCCTTTAAAGTGGTTATCTAAAAGTACTGATAAATTTTTATAATGAAAAATGTTTTGACGCCATATTATTTTAAAAGCAGCTTGAAAAATTTAAGAAAGGCTGAATATAAATAAAATTTTTGAATTGCACATTGTGTGGATGAGGACATGTTGACAATCACCAAAGTTTCAACTCCTATTTCAGAACAAATTGTCGTCAAATCATTAAAGATGAAATAAAGTGATATTAAAGATCCACTTCAATTTCAATTTTTAAGTATTCTTTTGTCGAAAACTAAACAATTAGTGGAACTAATCAAAACTAGAAATAGAGGTCCTGTTTGAAGGAACAAGGAAGGCTGAAATGAACTGTTTTAAAGAATAAAAAAAGTAAAACAATTCACGCACAACAATATTAAAATTATTATATTAAAATTATTTATTTTTATCACCAAATAATTCTCTAAAACCTTATCGTGGCTCGTTTTTTCTGGTACGATAGCGATGCAGTTGTATCCTTTAACAGCTGCCACTAATGCAAGGCCGATTCCTGTATTTGCACATATTGGTTCGATTATAGTCATTCCGGGTTTTAATGCCCCGCATTCTTCAGCTATTTCAACCATTCGTTTTGCTATTCGATCCTTTGTTGAACCCCCACTACTCATATATTCCAACTTTGCATCTGAGGTTTGGTAATTTTACTCAGAGCAAATTCAGGTTAATTTAAAGATGAACTTAAGTTAGAAATTCAAAATCTAAAAAAAAAAAATAAAACATCATGTTTCAAATTTTGGAATAAAATGGATAACTCATACAAATATTGCATTTTATTCCAAATGATTGAGGAATGCGATTCAATTTAACGAGTGGAGTTCCTCCGATTGCGCTCAATATGTCTTTCATCGGTTTGCCATCAAAAATTCTTCAAAGAAACTTGGAATTTTTGGAATATTTCTACCGGAAGTTCGTACCCCTTTTTGTGACTGTCAATAAGTTTAAAGCAATAATAAATTTTTTTATTTTTCGACTATAATAAGTAATTATCTTTTTAATTAATTAGTCTTTGGTTCGGTTTTAGCATTTCCTTGTATAAACAAAATTTTTAAACCAAAAACTGGCTAGAGATCAAAACAAAATTGTTTTCCAACCGAAAATTAGATTTTCAAACAAACAAATCACCTGAGAGTTTGAAATTCATTACGCGTCCCTTTAATTGTTTTCTTATTATTGCATAAAATAGAACCATTTGAATATGACGAAGCGCGACTAGCACGATTGTCAAGGAAATCTGAGGCCATTAAAGCGTTTTGTTTGCTGAACTAGGGTATTTTCTTTAAAGCAGATGGTAAAAAATTATAATTAAAAAACGATTCTATACAATTCCAGCAGTTTTTGGTACTTTCTTGATCCAAAACATTTAATTCCAATACTTCACACTAATCTTCTGAGAATTTTTATTATAGCTAAGCTAATCTTGCAGGCGTGGCTTACAACGCCAGGAGAGATAAAACTGAAATTTGCTATAAATTTGACCAAAAAAAATTGACAAGAATCGCATTTTAAACTTTATTTTTATCGAAATCAGTGGTTAAGAAAATTTATTTCGTACAAATTGCCAATTAAATAAAATTAAATAAAACCAAATTTTAAAATTTGTTAAAAGAAAATTTTGAAAACTGAATAATTTTAAAAATTAGCCAAATGTTTTAAATAGAAAAACGAATTTCACTGGATAGTGTTAAGTTAATACAAACCCGCTTCAGATTTCTTAACAGTTAAACATATTTTTAGATAATGTTTAATTGGCACGTAATATTTGATTTCAATCCACTTCTTCCAACGGCTCTCACTGGTTAGGCTGGTTCTGCTGACTACAAGGGTAGGATGTCTCCAAGCTGCTCGGTCTGACACAACGGCTAGTAGTAATAGAAGCCATTTTTTTTTCCATCGTCTAAATCCATATATCGCTGGTGCTCATACGTTCAAAATCTTTCCTGACTGCATCAGATCTTGGCCCTTGATTGGCCCTCCTCGCTTTTGACGCCAACCATCAAGAGTTCGGTAAGTAGCGAAATACGATTTGTACGCCTCTTGAGTGCAAGCTATCTCCATTATCCAGTCTATCACGAATATTGTAGGGAAAAGGACGCAGTCCTAGCGTACACCAGTTCTTATTTCGAAGGAATTAGTTCCCCATGTACGCAGACCTGTGCCAGGGATGCAGATAAAATGCCTTTACGAGTCGAATGATCTTCTTTGGAATACCGTCACATTCCATCACTTCCCAGAGGAAGCTCTATCGAATCGAAGGCAGATGTAAAATCGCAAAAGCAAATGACGGTGGGTTGCTGGTACTTAAAACAATCTTCCAGCACTCTTCCTAACGTAAATATCTTGTCAGCAGAACCACGTCTCGGTCTGAATCCAGCTTGGTTAGGACGCATTCTACTATCTCGTATTCCCATAAGTCTGTTGAAGCAAAAATTTTCATTGAGACGTCTAGCAGGCTGATTTTCCGATAATTATATGCCCTGTCATCTTTTTTAAAAATTGGAAGTAGAATTGCTTTGCTCCAGTCATCCGATATTATTTTCTTTTGCTAGAGAAGTTCGGCCGAAAGACCATCTTCCCCGGGAATTTTATTGGTTTTAAGTTTATGGATTACGGAGATTATTTCCTCTTCTGTTAGCAGTTCAAGCGTAACGCTCAACGGCCGAATCAATTATATCCGGGATAACAGATGGCGCATCGTGGTCAACTTTGGCTCAAAAAATTCTTTCTAATGAAGCGATCCTTAATGGTCTTAACAGGCGCCCCATTAATATTGCGTATCATTTCACTGATCCTATCGAGTTGTAGTAGCTTTGTGAAGAAGGCGAAGCAGTATCCTATTATCACCTATCCGAGCCGCAGTTTCCATTTTCAAGGCCATATCGCTCCAATAGCGATTTTTGCCCCGCCGTGCTGCTGTCGTTATAATTCTTCGAAGCACCAAGATCTTGATAGTCAAGATCTCCCAACATTCGAGCAACTTTGGCAACTTTTTCAGATAGTTGGTCAGTTGCTTTCAATACGCAGCTATGCTTTCTTCCTGCTAGTATATCCTAGTGTGGAAATGGCTGACTTTTGTAGGTACGTTTTTAGTTGGAACCAGTATTCATTCGGCGCTCCAGAGATCATATTGACGTTCACTTCACTGTGATGTTTCGATAATACACTTGCACTTATTGTTTACGGATTTTTTAATTTGAGATAGTTGAAAGATCTCAGAATACGTATCGTCATATTATACGAATCGTCATATTATACGAATCTTCAGGTGAACCATAACATGATTTGATCCATGAAGGTTACTTTGATAAGAACTTTCAAAGCTACGCCATTTTGCACCGAATTATCCGAGACATCACAATGATATAGCCAATGTCTTTGTTCGGAACCAGGTTTAACAATTACTTGAGAGCCGACATGAGGAAGACTGACCTCCGACAAATAAGCCACATCCACGCGTATTTAGCAAGGATGTGGATGATAATCGCTTGGCTTGCAACATCCATTAGCGTCCTGACGTTCCAAGCAGCTATAGCCAGCATCTCGCCGCGCCTACAAAGTATTAATGCACAAATTTCAGCCTCCCTTGGCGGGTTTTGAGTAAACACCTCGGTTCACGAACAAATTCTATGATCGCACTTTGGAATTAATTTATTATTATGCCTGCTCGGATCGTATATTTGTCGCAAGTACCACCGGGTCAGAACTATCATGCGCATCGGAAGATGCGGACATCGTGTCAAAGACACCTGACCCTTTCACCATAGAGTCACTTGGGGAGTAAAGATACAGATGGACCTCCAGCAGCTACCCGGATTTTTTGACACCATAGTTTAAAAAAGAGAAATTTTAAAAACTTAAAAAAAATCAATGGCTCAGTGAGAATTTATGAATTAAAAAAAGAATGGTTGAGCGATATGCTGTTTCAACAAAAGTGGTCGCAGAAAACTATCATCCCATATATTCCTAACCCAAAATGATTTTCTGGTTCTTCTTCTTTTAAATGGGTAAATTTTCAACGAAAGACCTCAAAGAAATAAAATAACGTAAGGCCGAAAATTATAGCCAGATACACTGCCAAAATTACGCCTTATTTCTCATTTTCTGTAAAAAAAAATAATATATTGATAAAGCGTCGGTCTCTTTTAGTAATGCTTCTAACAAAAATAAAATAATTACGAATGACAATGGTAAACGATAAATTTGAATTTGAATATTGCTTATAAATTACTATAATATTTATTGAGAAAAAAGAAACGCTTCAATAAATCGTATAAATCGTTTAAATAAATCGGTCAAAATATGATGCATATTTGATAAGAAATGATAAAAATGGTAACAAAAAAGTTATCGAAAGAAATGATAAGTAAATACTCACAGTTTTTAAAAAATTATTAGTTAATATGAGTATTAATTATACATTAATAGAATATTAATGAAATAAAAAAAGGCAAAGTACTTGTTGTTTAATGGTTCGTTTTGGGATCAGGCGCCGCAAAGAAAAATGTAAAAATATTTTTTAAAAGTTTTCATTTATTTATTCATTTATTTATATTTGCAATAATTATTATAATAATTATTGTTATCTTCTTTATTATTTTTATCATTTTAATCATTTTACATCATGCATTAATTTATTATTTTCATGTTTTTAGCTAAATTTTGAGTCAATTTAATCATAAAATAAGTCTTTATAACTTTGTTCATTTAAGGTTATTATACTCCATTTAAAAACAACAAGCAGTTCTTTCTAATACAAAAGCTATTTGGATTTAATTTATACTTGGATTTAATTTATTTTAACTTGGATTTATTTATATTTGGATTTAATTAATTTTGAACTATGAGATAGGTATTTAATTGAATGGTTCATGAATATAAGCTTGATTGCAAGGTTCTTAACTTAATTTCACCCCATATGCCCATTATTGTGCCTGCTTGCAACATTTCAATTATAGCCTTTTTTTAAAAGTAATAAGTTATATTCAGTAAACATATGTTCTGAAATCAACTTTCCCTAGACTTGCATTAGATTTAAGACTAAATTAACTTTAAATTTAGCCAAATATTGCCGAAAAAACATCGATAAATTAATAATTAAAAACAGCAAATTAAAATACAACGTAAAACGAATGATAATAATAAAAAATGTTAAAATAGTTCCTGAAAATAAAAAATTAGCTTAAAGTGATTTATCACAAATCTTCTAAATACCTAATTATTCTTAAAATAAAATCTTGATGCAATTTTATAATCAAATGCAACTATTTAATAAATTGGTTATACCTACTTCTAAGTTCAATCATAAATCATAAAATTCAAGCCAAAATTCTCATTTAGTAAATTTCTTTGAACAGATTTGTTTAATTTCATCAGTAAAAAAAACTCATCTTTTATGCCTTCCAGCAAAGCTAAATGCCGCAATACTTTACCTCGGTTTAACCACAGAACTTCAGTTAAATATATAATGGCAAGGGTTATCCAGGAAGGCTTTAAATCTATGGTGATAGAGGTTGATCTTACAATGAACTCACTGAAGCTTAAATGCATTAGGAATCCCATTCATTTTCTTAATGAGTTCTGTTGATATATAATGCAATGGTATTTCCTTATTTTTGTTTCAATTTGAAAAAAATATTATCATGTGTTTGGATATAAGAGATAGCATTCCATTTTCTTGACTAATCATCTTTATACCGAATTTTGTGAGTTTCAATTTATGTTTATCCAAAATGTCGAAAACTTTGAGCAATCTAAACATTTTCTTTGTCCATACAGCGTATAAAATTCTAAAAATGAATGTCAAAACCTGGTATGATACCACGAATAATCATTGGGGCAGTGGATGTTATTTCCATTGATTCATTGACGGTAAGAGAATAATGAACAAATCCATCGCAGATTTTACAAATTTTCAAAAATCCTTGCGTAATATCAGAAATTGGCGTTTGTCTTATCATCATACGAATGAATGAATTGAAGGTAAAAATCGCATAGAAGTCAATATAACAAATATAATCGCATCAATAGTGATTTATCAAATTATATGCAAGCACCATGTTTATTCAGTTTCTCTCTCACTCATTTCTCGCAAAATTCCTAAAAAAATTTGCTTATTTATCATACTATTTATTGTCGGCATCACTGTTGTAAATTCTTTGCCACCCCGCACACGACTGTGTTATATTGATGCAAATAGCAACGATTTTGCATCATCTCATTTGTCAACAATTCCTTCTTTTTATTA